AGTAAGAGTCCGAGATTAGCATTAAAAGCAAATCGAAATTACGCAAGCTCATTCATACTAGAGTTGGCCGGTATTGGTATTCCAAGTAAAATCGGCATCGGCATTTTAGAATAGTGATACCGATCCCGATACCGGCCTCGGTATCAGCAAAATCGGTATCCACCAGTATTACCGACCGTCACTGGTCGGTATCCCGATACCGGCCAACTCTAACTCATACTCCCCAAATGTCGGGAGCCTTCTGTACATGTATAGGAAAGAACTTGGGGAGTAAATAATATGGTCTGTAAACGAAACTATTGCCATAAATTCTATGTTTTATTGGGGACAAATTGCCAGCATTAATTTTTATTGATAAACAATGTGAATTCAACATTGTTTTATTCTTTAGCATTAAACGTACAAAATATAAATATTATTTTTAATATCAGAAACTTTCAACATTCAAAATCCTCTCTATATTTGCACAGAACAACAGAGCGTACATCAATTGCCCCTTTAATCTCCAATTGAGTTATTTTACTCATGTTGTATAGATATAAAAGTTCAAATGAGTTGCCGTCGACTAATGCCTGAAATAAAAATTTAAAAAATTATAAACTTCAAAGTAGTTCTGTATTAATACTTTTTTTTCAAAGATTGCTTACAAAAACTACTTTAATTTACTAAATAGTACTCGTATCACAATTTGTTCTGCTCTAAATTCCAATTCGAATGGTTGACCAACTTTGAATGGAAAATCTCTTGAAGTCTCTTTTCTTGTCCATCCTGTACCTTTTATCCAAGTGTCGCGAATGACCTTAATATATAATTTAAGCAAACAAAAATTGCTCTAACTAATCATTTTATTGCCTGTTTTATATAAGAATACTAAATATGTACCGTAAATTCCCTTATTTACCGCCAAATTCCCTGATATTTCGATCTAAAATCCAGTTTTCCGGACCCAGAAAATTATTTTGCCTGATATTATTTCTCTTTGACACTTTATAAAAATATAGAAACAATGTTTTACAGGATGTAAATCTGTTGCTTTTAAGCTTGCCTAGAATAACTGCCAGACCCCTAGTCTATTCACTTACCTTCTTTTGAGCAAAGTTTGGACTGAAGTGTAATGGAATGTCAGCAGTATCTTCAGGCACACCCTCCTCAGCAAAATTAATGTCAAAACATGTTGGTGCAGTAGGTGTCCCATGAATTATAATACGCTTAGATCGTGCAAATCCCATTCCAAATCCTTTATCCACAAGGTTGATTATTGATGGAATTTTCTTTAATTTTTAGAGATTTTTATCTGTTTTAATTCTCTATACTCTAACCAAATTATTTAATTCAATCTGTCCGCGACACGAAAAAGGAGGCTTTGCAGGAGTTGTGGCTGGTAGGATTTTATCACACAAAATCAAAGAGTTGACTTTAATTATTTCTGCCTCATCAATATATAATTGACTAATTTTACTCAAATCCCCACGAGAGAAAGTTGCAAAACTTCTATCATTAACATAAATCTACGAAAAATAAACTTAAAATTAGAGGTCGGCGCGGGACGGGATCCCGACGGGATTTTCCGGGATCCCGCTCCCGAAATCCCGGATTTTTTTGATTTTCAGGATCATTCGGGATCCGGGATTTTTTCGGGATTTATCCCTCGGGATCCCGTCCCGGCCTCGGTTAAGAAAAAAATCCCGACTCGGGATCCCGAAAGTGCGATTTTGCCGACCTCTACTTAAAATTAAGTAACAATTGTATAAATAATTACAATTATTGTGTTATTTGGCGCTGCAACAAATTCCAAAATGAATGGTTTACCAGCTGTAAAAGGTAATCTATACCATTCAGGTCGTCCCCACTTTTTGGGTTTTATCCAATCATTAAGGTTAACCTAAAATAAATATTTGGATATAAAAACTAATTTTAATTTTTAAATTACTCTATAGTAGCGTGTGTGGTATGCCTGGAAAGCGAATGGAATGTTAGCAGTTTTTAACTTTTCGCCATCTTCCATCAAATAAAATTTAAAACGTTTTGGATATTCAAGAAATACACCATTAATTTCAATATACTTGTCTGGTAAAAATCCTTTTACAAATCCCGCTTTTACAAGATTAATTGTTGATGGTAGCTTCTTAAATATATTATTTAATCAAATTTACTTTAGAAAGTATGGGAGAAGGAAAGTTTATGTAACCGTGCAGACTATATAACGCATAAAATGAAGTTAATTGAATTTTTGTGTTTGATAATTTTTTACGAATTTTTGATATAAAATGTGGATTTTTTAGCTCAAAATTGCGGATTTTTAAAAATTGAGATCGGAGCCATATCGTAGGCCCTTGGTTAAGCGTCAGCTGAATCCTCTTTCCTTATCTTACCAAATTATTATAAACAATCGGAGTGTTGCTGCACATAGTCGTCTCGATTGTAGTTACCATAAAGCTCGCGCATATTATTAACAAATAAAGTGTTTTCGACTTCATTGTTGAAGTTAAATAATATATTTAAATTTTATTTTGTTATAATAATTGCTTGAATCCATCATCCTTTATATGCTCTATTGTTCCTCCTTTCCTCATCAAAACCATTCAAACAGCTAATAACTGTTTGTAATTTTTTGTGGCCACGATTATTCATAAACAAATATTAACAAACAAAATTTGCCCCATCTCAACCATACAAGTTAAATCAAAAATTTTTATAGCGATAATTGCTCAAACGAGAAAAATTTTGTTTGGTAGAACGGATATTTTTTGTATTTCCAATTTGCAATGTTTGTTTTTAATTGTTTATCATGTGTGAGGAAGAAGCCTATTTATGTATATTTACAAGAAAATAATTTTTTAATTTTTAAACACGTTTTGTTTGTCAATATTTTGTAAAACTTCCTTATTGACATTTTTAAATATTTGGATTAATTGATTTTGATTAACTTCTCGATATTTTAGATCCGGATATACTCGAGTTCGATTTGCTCTAACTCATTGGTCTAGACAAAATCGAGCTTTTCTGTTAGGTTTATCATTACCTCAATATTTTTGGACTCTTTCGTAAATTCCCCATTCTTAACTTCAAAAAGACTCCATTAAACTTAACTGCTTTAAGTTGGAGCAAATAGACGGGAATGGGAAATTTTGTCTACACATATCAAAAACTTTTTAAAGCGTTATATCTCAAGAAAAATGCGTTTGCTTAACAGGATTTCTTATTATTAAGTGGAAGGTGCTCCTTCTATTAAGCTTTTGTTTAACAAATTACCCCAGTACTTCTAAAAATATGCCCCTAGTTTCCAAAACTACTTCAACTTCAACAAATGTTTTCACTACTGTCACTATTCTACGACCTCACAATGCATATTAAAACTAAAAAACGAGAAATGAGCGAGCGCCACTCCTTGAGAAAAAATGCCAGAAAAGGAAGGATAAATGCGCGTTCTTTTGCGTTCCTTTTCTTGCAATTTTTATTTCATAAAAATTTTCTAAATTAAACAAATTAGTAACTTAACATTTCATGCTTTATTTTACAATACATATTAAACATAAAATTATAAATATATTTTTGATAACATTCAATTTATAATCAAAATTCTCTCTTTATTTACAAAAAGTAACAATTTTCAATTTTATTTGCTTTTCCAATCACAACTTGAAGTGCATGATCCAACTTATGTCTAGTAAAGATGGCAAAAAATTCGTTGTTGCTTACATTGACTTAAAAATTACAAAAGAAAATTAAGTTTAAGAAAATTAAGTTAGGTATATTAATTGTATCCTTTTGATTTAATCCCAAATTAAATGGTTCTCCAATTCTAAAGGGAAAGCATCCAAAACATAACAGGAAAGTAAAAGTCCGAGATTAGTATTAAAAACAAATCGAAATTACGCAAGCTCATTCATACTAGAGTTGGCAGGTATTGGTATTCCAAGTAAAATCGGTATCGGCATTTTAGAATAGTGATACCGATCCCGATACCGGCCTCGGTATCAGCAAAATCGGTATCGGGATTCAAAAAACTGATATACTACCGACCGTCACTGGTCGGTATCCCGATACCGGCCAACTCTAACTCATACTCCCCAAATGTCGGGAGCCTTCTGTACATGTATAGGAATAAACTTGTGGAGTAAATAATATGGTCTGTAAACTACACTATTGCCATAAATTCTATGTTTGTATTGGGGACAAATTGCCTTTGTTACGACCCGAGGTGTCCGAGATTCACTAATGTTGACAAGCACAACAATAACAATCTAAAATCCAGTTTACTGGCTTATAGTAAACACTTTAAGGGCTGACGCCCATACACAACAGCCTTCATTAATTTTTATTCACATAAACAATGTGAATTAACATTGCTTTATTCTTTAGCATTAAACGTACAAAATATAAATATTATTTTTAATATCAGAAACTTTCAACATTCGAAATCCTCTCTTTATTTGCACAGAACAACAGAGCGTACATCAATTGCCCCTTTAATCTCCAATTGAGTTATTTTACTCATGTTGTATCCATACAAAAGTTCAAATGAGTTGCCGTCGACTAATGCCTGAAATAAAAATTTAAAAAATTATAAACTTCAAAGTAGTTCTGTATTAATACTTTTTTTTCAAAGATTGCTTACAAAAACTACTTTAATTTACTAAATAGTACTCGTATCACAATTTGTTCTGCATTAAATTCCAATTCGAATGGTTGACCAACTTTGAATGGAAAATCTCTTGAAGTCTCTTTTCTTGTCCATCCTGTACCTTTTATCCAAGTGTCGCGAATGACCTAAATATATATAATTTAAGCAAACAAAAATTGCTCTAACTAATCATTTTATTGCCTGTTTTAAATAAGAATACTAAATATGTACCGTAAATTCCCTTATTTACCGCCAAATTCCCTGATATTTCGATCTAAAATCCAGTTTTCCGGACCCGGAAAATTATTTTGCCTGCTATTATTTCTCTTTACACTTTATAAATGTCATGTCCGATGTTCATGCTGTGGAAAAATTGTGGATGGGAGATGGAATTGAACCATCACGGCAGGGCCCAAACCGAAGCACACACAACCGACTGTGCCACCATCCAACCCAATTCTGGGTTATTTATTTTCATTTATGTTCTTTCTGCAAGTGCGGACGCAACAATAAAAATATAAAAACAATGTTTTACAGAATTTTAAGCTTGCCAAGAATAACTGCCAGACCCCTAGTCTATTCACTTACCTTCTTTTGAGCAAAGTCTGCACTGAAGTGTAATGGAATGTCAGCAGTATCTTCAGGCACACCATCCTCAGCAAAGTTAATGTCAAAGCATGTTGGTGCAGTAGGTGTCCCATGAATTATAAAACGCTTAGATCGTGCAAATCCTATTCCAAATCCTTTATCCACAAGGTTGATTATTGATGGAATTTTCTTTAAATTTTTAGAGATTTTTATCTGTTTTAATTCTCTATACTCTAACCAAATTATTTAATTCAATCTGTCCGCGACACGAAAAAGGAGGCTTTGCAGGAGTTGTGGCTGGTAGGATTTTATCACACAAAATCAAAGAGTTGACTTTAATTATTTCTGCCTCATCAATAAATAATTGGCTAATTTTACTCAAATCCCCTCGATGGAAAGTTGCCAAACGTCTATCATTAACATAAATCTACGAAAAATAAACCTAAAATTAAGTAACAATTGTATAAATAATTACAATTATTGTGTTATTTGGCGCTGCAACAAACTCCAAAATGAATGGTTTACCAGCTGTAAAAGGTAATCTATACCATTCAGGTCGTCCCCACCTATTGGGTTTTATCCGATTATTAAGGTTAACCTAAAATAAATATTTGGATATAGTAAAGAAGCTAGGCTATAGCTATTCTCTCCTTTAGCTAGTGCAAAAGGTTGTTCGGCGGCTGGGAGCGAACCAACATCTTCAGTAGACCGGACTGATGTGTTAGCCATTACACCACGCTGCCTACTGCATAGCCTTAGGAAATTAATAGCTACATGCTTTACAATATAAAAACCAATTTTAATTTTTAAATTACTCTATAGTAGCGTGTGCGGTATGACTGGAAAGCGAATGGAATGTTAGCAGTTTTTAACTTTTCGCCATCTTCCATCAAATAAAATTTAAAACGTTTTGGATATTCAAGAAATACACCATTAATTTCAATATACTTGTCTGGTAAAAATCCTTTTACAAATCCCGCTTTTACAAGATTAATTGTTGATGGTAGCTTCTTAAATATATTATTTAATCAAATTTACTTTAGAAAGTATGGGAGAAGGAAAGTTTATGTAACCGTGCAGACTATATAACGCATAAAATGAAGTTAATTGAATTTTTGTGTTTGATAATTTTTTACGAATTTTTGATATAAAATGTGGATTTTTTAGCTCAAAATTGCGGATTTTTAAAAATTGAGATCGGAGCCATATCGTAGGCCCTTGGTTAAGCGTCAGCTGAATCCTCTTTCCTTATCTTACCAAATTATTATAAACAATCGGAGTGTTGCTGCACATAGTCGTCTCGATTGTAGTTACCATAAAGCTCGCGCATATTATTAACAAATAAAGTGTTTTCGACTTCATTGTTGAAGTTAAATAATATATTTAAATTTTATTTTGTTATAATAATTGCTTGAATCCATCATCCTTTATATGCTCTATTGTTCCTCCTTTCCTCATCAAAACCATTCAAACAGCTAATAACTGTTTGTAATTTTTTGTGGCCACGATTATTCATAAACAAATATTAACAAACAAAATTTGCCCCATCTCAACCATACAAGTTAAATCAAAAATTTTTATAGCGATAATTGCTCAAACGAGAAAAATTTTGTTTGGTAGAACGGATATTTTTTGTATTTCCAATTTGCAATGTTTGTTTTTAATTGTTTATCATGTGTGAGGAAGAAGCCTATTTATGTATATTTACAAGAAAATAATTTTTTAATTTTTAAACACGTTTTGTTTGTCAATATTTTGTAAAACTTCCTTATTGACATTTTTAAATATTTGGATTAATTGATTTTGATTAACTTCTCGATATTTTAGATCCGGATATACTCGAGTTCGATTTGCTCTAACTCATTGGTCTAGACAAAATCGAGCTTTTCTGTTAGGTTTATCATTACCTCAATATTTTTGGACTCTTTCGTAAATTCCCCATTCTTAACTTCAAAAAGACTCCATTAAACTTAACTGCTTTAAGTTGGAGCAAATAGACGGGAATGGGAAATTTTGTCTACACATATCAAAAACTTTTTAAAGCGTTATATCTCAAGAAAAATGCGTTTGCTTAACAGGATTTCTTATTATTAAGTGGAAGGTGCTCCTTCTATTAAGCTTTTGTTTAACAAATTACCCCAGTACTTCTAAAAATATGCCCCTAGTTTCCAAAACTACTTCAACTTCAACAAATGTTTTCACTACTGTCACTATTCTACGACCTCACAATGCATATTAAAACTAAAAAACGAGAAATGAGCGAGCGCCACTCCTTGAGAAAAAATGCCAGAAAAGGAAGGATAAATGCGCGTTCTTTTGCGTTCCTTTTCTTGCAATTTTTATTTCATAAAAATTTTCTAAATTAAACAAATTAGTAACTTAACATTTCATGCTTTATTTTACAATACATATTAAACATAAAATTATAAATATATTTTTGATAACATTCAATTTATAATCAAAATTCTCTCTTTATTTACAAAAAGTAACAATTTTCAATTTTATTTGCTTTTCCAATCACAACTTGAAGTGCATGATCCAACTTATGTCTAGTAAAGATGGCAAAAAATTCGTTGTTGCTTACATTGACTTAAAAATTACAAAAGAAAATTAAGTTTAAGAAAATTAAGTTAGGTATATTAATTGTATCCTTTTGATTTAATCCCAAATTAAATGGTTCTCCAATTCTAAAGGGAAAGCATCCAAAACATAACAGGAAAGTAAAAGTCCGAGATTAGTATTAAAAACAAATCGAAATTACGCAAGCTCATTCATACTAGAGTTGGCAGGTATTGGTATTCCAAGTAAAATCGGTATCGGCATTTTAGAATAGTGATACCGATCCCGATACCGGCCTCGGTATCAGCAAAATCGGTATCGGGATTCAAAAAACTGATATACTACCGACCGTCACTGGTCGGTATCCCGATACCGGCCAACTCTAACTCATACTCCCCAAATGTCGGGAGCCTTCTGTACATGTATAGGAATAAACTTGTGGAGTAAATAATATGGTCTGTAAACTACACTATTGCCATAAATTCTATGTTTGTATTGGGGACAAATTGCCTTTGTTACGACCCGAGGTGTCCGAGATTCACTAATGTTGACAAGCACAACAATAACAATCTAAAATCCAGTTTACTGGCTTATAGTAAACACTTTAAGGGCTGACGCCCATACACAACAGCCTTCATTAATTTTTATTCACATAAACAATGTGAATTAACATTGCTTTATTCTTTAGCATTAAACGTACAAAATATAAATATTATTTTTAATATCAGAAACTTTCAACATTCGAAATCCTCTCTTTATTTGCACAGAACAACAGAGCGTACATCAATTGCCCCTTTAATCTCCAATTGAGTTATTTTACTCATGTTGTATCCATACAAAAGTTCAAATGAGTTGCCGTCGACTAATGCCTGAAATAAAAATTTAAAAAATTATAAACTTCAAAGTAGTTCTGTATTAATACTTTTTTTTCAAAGATTGCTTACAAAAACTACTTTAATTTACTAAATAGTACTCGTATCACAATTTGTTCTGCATTAAATTCCAATTCGAATGGTTGACCAACTTTGAATGGAAAATCTCTTGAAGTCTCTTTTCTTGTCCATCCTGTACCTCTTATCCAAGTGTCGCGAATGACCTTAATATATAATTTAAGCAAACAAAAATTGCTCTAACTAATCATTTTATTGCCTGTTTTAAACAAGAATACTAAATATGTACCGTAAATTCCCTTATTTCCCTTACAAATTCCCTGATATTTCGATCTAAAATCCAGTTTTCCGGACCCGGAAAATTATTTTGCCTAATATTATTTCTCTTTGACACTTTATAAAAATATAGAAACAATGTTTTACAGGATGTAAATCTGTTGCTTTTAAGCTTGCCAAGAATAACTGCCAGACCCCTACATAGAGAAAGAGTTTGCAAAAGTTTGGCCACCGGGCAGGATTCGAACCTGCGACCACCTGCTAGTTGTTGCTAGGCGCTTTCGCTCACTATATGTATGCAGGAGCTCTACCTCTGAGCTACCGGGGCATCGACTAATGCCTTCTCTTTTTCCTTTTTAGATCGTTTATCCCCCGCCTAAGCGTTTTAAATGCTGCTAGGTGAATCATCCTTACAATAGTCTATCCACTGACCTTCTTTTGAGCAAAGTCTGGACGGAAGTGTAATGGAATGTCAGCAGTATCTCCAGGCACACCATCCTCAGCAAAGTTAATGTCAAAACACGTTGGTGCAGTAGGTGTCCCATGAATTATAATACGCTTAGATCGTGCAAATCCCATTCCAAATCCTTTATCCACAAGGTTAATTATTGATGGAATTTTCTTTAATATTTTAGAGATTTTTATCTTTTGTTTTAATTCTCTATACTCTAACCAAATTATTTATTTCAATCTGTCCGCGACACGAAAAAGGAGGCTTTGCAGGAGTTGTGGCTGGTAGGATTTTATCACACAAAATCAAAGAGTTGACTTTAATTATTTCTGCCTCATCAATAAATAATTGACTAATTTTACTCAAATCCCCTCGATGGAAAGTTGCAAAACTTCTATCATTAACATAAATCTACGAAAAATAAACTTAAAATTAGAGGTCGGCGCGGGACGGGATCCCGACGGGATTTTCCGGGATCCCGCTCCCGAAATCCCGGATTTTTTTGATTTTCGGGATCCGGGTGTCGTGTAAGGAACACGAAATTATAATTATTAATAAATTTAAATATTTCTTCCTATTTTTCCCTTTATTTCACCTGTCCACGACAGACAATTTCATAAATTATTTTCCCATAAGCTTCCACTTTGACCCTTTATTCTCTCTTCTTTTTTCCGGAAACTATTGTCTTTTCACCCCTCGTTAATACTATTTTCCATATCACTTCTCTATTCATTATTGTTTAAATCTCTGCCTATTGTCCATTAAATCCCCTATATAAACAATAGGCAGATCTTCCATATCTTCTTCAGTTTTAATTTTCCATTAATTCTTTACAACTATATTTAATTGTATTTTTAAATTTAATTTTACAAATAAATATTTTATTTTAATTCACTTTATTCAATAACTCTTGGGACCTAGCTTCCCCAAAAATTTATTTGTCAAAGTAAGCTTTTAGTTGACAAAAGTGGTGCTCCGGGAGAGGCACCCCGACTAAACCTTACTAATAACTCAAATTTCAGTGGCGGAATCAATTAAACCTGCTGTGCTTCAACAAATACTTGCCTCGGCTCAAGGCGTGCATTCCGACAACACTAATTGCAACTGTTTAATTTGTGTTGTGAAAAAATTTGTTTCCACTCCTGAAACAACTACTACCGATTCTGGCTCAAAAAATAAACTAAATTGTACATCTTCCGGTCGCGCCACAACTACTAATACAAGCTCGTCTTCTACTGCTGGCTCTTCCAATCCAATCCGTGGCAATAACCAGAAGCCAATTGCTGTTCCAAGTAAAGATATCAAGTCAACTGAAACAGATACTTCTGATGAGGATGATGATTGGCCTCCACCTCACAAAAAGTTTGTTGTTGTAAAGAAAACTCTTTGCCCCATTAATAAATTTTGCTTACCTTGTAATTGGATTAGGTCAAACCCAATATCGGACACTGCTGTTAAAACAAAACCTGCCTTGGTTGAACCGCAAGCTCCAAGAAGGCCTCGTTCACCCTCCATTCCAAGATTGGGAAGTGCAAGACATTCGCCTCCAATCGCTGCTCATAAAAGGCCACACTCTTCCCGTAACGACAACAACAATAAAAAGGTAAACTCCCGAATTGTAATCGCTGGGAGAACCAAGAGGGCTAAAATTCTTACTTCTGCTATCTGGTCAAATCTAATCCTTCCAATAGCAGGATCATCAAACGACACGAGCAGAAGCAGTGATTCCCAATCGTGTTCACTCAAAGACTCCTGTCACGTGTCCAAAGGTGAATATAGTCTTTTTAAGAAGATTATTAAATTTTCCTCAAAAGAAGCCCGAAGTGAAAAATCAAATCTTGGAAGTACAGAAGAGCGAAGCAGAGAAAATAGCCGAAGCAAAAAAGAAGGGGGAGTCTGTACGCAAAGCAGCACAACTTGCTGAAGTGTATTCGGAAATTGGACAAACCTCTCGTGCATGTGCAGTTCTTTTTGAACGTTTAGCCGCTCTAATTAAAGAATAAAGAATAATTAATACAATACTATTTAAACAAACTTACAATTGCTTTAATTTAAATATTTATACACACAATTGCTTTTAATTTTTTGTATTTAATATACACCTAAAAATTGTATTTAAAATTAAAATAATAAATGGCAAATCGCACTTTCGCAGGACCGCTTAAAATGAGATTAGGTCCACTCAGGAAAAGAACAATTGGATATATAAAGTCGATCAAAGAATTATCAGATAAAGGAGTAAACCCCGAAAGTATAACGAGTCTGAGAGCACAACAACTGAAATTAGCTAGATCTGTAGAAGTGTTGGAACAGATCAATACAGACTGGGCGAAGCTCATAGGTCTCGAGGCGCAAGATAGGAAAGAGGATATGTTGAAAGATTATAACACCCACGCGGAGGGGGAGGATGGTTTCATAGCCCTAATCGAAATAGCGAGGGATCTGAGTTGTGAAATCGAAGCTAAGCTGATTGAAGTCTCCTCGTCGTCTCATAATGATAATTCTGTCGCCAATACATCGTTAGCACATTCAACTTCTATTCGACTACCAGTCTGTAATCTTCCTATCTTTAATGGAAAGGTTTCAGACTGGCCAAGCTTCTGGAGTCTTTTTGAAGTTTCAATAGATAAAAATCATAGTCTAGACGATTCTGAAAAACTAACGTACTTACTTGCCTCCCTCGCTCGTCCTCACCCCTATAGTGAAGTGAGCGGATTTGCAATAACAGCCTTAAATTATCCGTTAGTAGTGAACCATCTTAGGAAACGATTTGGGGATGAGATCTCAGTTAAACGATCATTGTATGGGGAATTAAATAAGCTTTGTCCTCGGGCATTAAAAACTGAAGACGTTCGTCAAAATTGGATAAATGTACATCGAATCACCCAGCAATTGAAAGCATTAGGGGAAGAAATCGACAATGGTGCACTGCTACAACAAATTGAAAACAAATTCGGGGGATGGGCTAATTGTGTCATACTTGAAGAACAAAATAAAAATCCCACCAATTGGACTATTAACAGACTCTTAGACTCAATTGACAAGCATCTAAAAATTAAAGAAGCGGTTTATGGCCAAAGTTCCTCATCGAATTATAGACGCCCTCCTCCTCGTCAAAATCATAATGTATTTACTAATAATATAGAAAGGGATAGAAACACTAATTGGCGGGAACCAAAACCAGAAATAAATAGATATTCCAATGAAACAAATAAAAAGAGAAGGCCATGTGTCTTTTGTGAGATCGATAATCACAATTCTGTGCAATGTAAAAAATATATAAATTTTGAGACTAGAATACAAAGGTTGAAAGATTTGAGAAAATGTACCAAATGTTTCGAGCGGAATCATATTGCCAAATATTGCAAAAATAATAAGATAAAATGCCAGAGTTGCACACAACCTCATTACTTTGCTGTCTGTCCCAAAAACACAATCAAAAGAGAAACTATTCATAATATAAGAGAAAAAACAGAGGAAAATATGAATACAGATCCAGGATTTTCCCAAGAAGATATGAACTGCCTGATAGAAATAAGGGAGGTAAATAGAACACAAAATAACAGGGAATTAGAAAAGATTAACACTCTCTCTCTGAAAGACAAAAATATAAAAACACTGCTCATGACTAAAAATATCGAATATCTAAATAGTCGAAAAGAATCAATTAGAGGTTTCACACTAATGGATCCAGGAGCCACTTGTACTTTGATTAGTGAGCGATTTGCACAGAAACTAGGGATTTCAGATTCGGAAATTAAACATAAAACTGAACTCGAAGTAGATGGATACGCTGGTAAAAAGTCCCGCTTCACATCATATAGGATCAAAATCGAGTTTAAATTGAAAAATGGAACTATTACTTCTGCCGAAGGGTATACTACACCCAACTTAGATCAAATGAAAATCTATTGTCCCAGTGATCCAAGGGAATTTTGGTTACACGATGATAAAGAAATTGAAGTAAAACAACGCACTCCTGACATACTTTTTGGATTGTCCGACGTCTTAAACCTTTTAGAAAATATTGAAAATTTATCCAACCAGAGATTTTTGCTCCGCACAAAAGTAGGACCTATAATCTGCGGCAAAGCGAAAATAAGGGAAGCAGGAATACAAGATGAAACACAATACGTAATGTCTGCTGTTGGAGAAATTACTGAAAAAGTAGAGGAAAAAGATTTCTGGAATCTTGAGACTATTGGTATTCGGGATCCAGGACTGACCATTCCAGATGATGAAATAGCTTGGAAGCAATTTAGGGAGACAATCAACCAATTACCTGATGGACGCTATGAAGTAGGTTGGCCGTGGCGAATCGAATCTAAAAGGACACTACAAACGAATTTCGGGGTTTCATTAGGCCGACTCAAATCTCTTTGGAAAAAATACCGAGAAAACCCCGAAGTTTTAGAAACAATGGATAAAACGATTAAGGAACAGTTGGATTTAAATATGATTGAAATAGCACCAAAAAACACAAACATAGTCCATTACCTCCCTCACCAACCTGTTTTCAAAAGTTCTTCATCATTCACTAAATTAAGAGTCGTATTCGATGCAGGCTCTGGAAAAACACCATTAAATAATGAATTACTTAGAGGAGCTGTCCTACTTCCACAATTGCCCGGCATACTGATCAGAACACTTATGTTCAATAATCTCTTGATCGCGGATATTGCTAAAGCTTTTTTACAAATCCAATTGAGACCGGAGGACAGGGACGTTACTAGATTCCTCTGGGTAAAAGATATAAACCACCAACCGGACTACACAAATTTGATTAGCTACAGATTTACACGAGTATTATTCGGAGTCATTTCCAGTCCATTTCTCCTAATTGCTACAATATTACACCATCTCGAGAAAGTAAAAAGTCCTTTGTCTGAGGAAATTAAAACAAATCTGTATATGGACAATATAATTCTCGGGGCTAAAAATACTGACGAGATAAAGGAAAAATATAAGGAATTAATTCAAATATTTAATCAAGCAAAAATGAGAGTTAGAGAATTTTGTTGCAATTCAGTCGAAGGAAATAATATGTTCGAAGAAGATGACAAGCACCCTAGTATAGAAACCAAATCCCTTAAATTCCTAGGAATAAAATGGGAAATAGAAAAAGATGAGTATTGCCAAAAATTACCAAGTGGTAATTATCAAAAT